TGCTACCAGTTATTTTTCATAGGCCCTGAATAACTACTTCATGCATTCTGTTCAGGACTTACAGCTGCACATAGTGAGAAAGTCAGTGTGAATGTGCTTGGTCAATATTTCCTGAAACTGAAGCCATCTCTAGATTTTAATCACTAGCAAGCCCCTTTCCTCCACCAGCTACAACTCTAAGTTCAGCATAATTTGCAGTTCATTCCACCTGTAATATATTATCACTTACAAAAATGCAATAGGGGGGCCAAAGGCTGCATTGAAGAGTAAGATAAATTTCAGATGCAAAGCAGACAATTGTCATAAACTTCTCGTAACTGAGGGGTTCTATATAGGGCATAGTAAGGTAGAAATTATTCACTACATATAAAATAGCTTTGTTAGGAATTAACTCATCCTCCCCTGTTGTTTTTTCTCAGGATGCTTGATTTAGAACAGTCTTAGTGTTCACTTTGACCATCATTTATGTACATAAAGTTGTCATGTATTTGAGATACTTGTTGGGAGAAATTTGGGGAGTATAGCATCCTGATTCCATTCAGGATTCAGTTCTTCTAGGAATAACTCTGATTTTTATTTTACTTTTTGTTTTCTTTTCTGTTTTTCACGATCACTTTTTCAGATACCCAGCACATTTATTCTCTTCCTTATTTTATGGACAGAAAAATAAAGGCCAAAGATTGACTGGGTTCTCTCAGAAAATTATTCACAAGCCAGGTTCTGTCTAGTGATTTTATCATATTGCCTGGAGAGAAGTGGTGGCAGATGCTGAAAATTTTGGCTTCTTATTTCCATTGAGATAACATCTCAAATTTATCCTAGCCATCCATTCATCCGAAGTAGGGATAGGTGGGATAGGAGTTGGTGGGGTATTGAAATCGGCAGACTGGTGCAGAACAGACTCAATGAAACTGGCAGAGATTGGTGCAGAAGGGATCCAATGAATCTAAGAGTCAAGGATTTCCATCCTGGAGAGATTCTATTTAATTTAATGAAAAGCCAAGTTAAAATAGATAATCGGGCAAACATTTGATCTGGTTATTTCTGGCCCTGCCTCTGGTTTATCCAGTCTCTATGGTTTAGTGTGTGCATGTGTATCTGAGTATGTCATAAACCCTTGAAATAGGTTGCAAACAAGCTTATTACAAAGCAGGCTCCTATCTGCACTTCTAAGTTTACCTTTTGCTACTCCCCACCCAACTCCCCTCCCAATACATTCTACACTCTAACCTTTCTGAGCTACTTGTGTTTTCCCAGATGGGCTGTGTGTTCCAGTTTTTTTTTTCCACAATCTTTTGCACCTGCTGTTCATGCTGTTTACTCTCCTGCCCCTCCTTCACCTGGCTAACTCTAAACATTGCTCAATTCCTCACATATTTTCATACCCTCTGGAAATCATTCCCTGGTACCTCACACCTATCTCAACAAGAGTTACATTTAATAAACAGAATTGGCTAGCTCATAAAGAGAAAGTCCAGCCTAAGACAGCCGTCAGTGTTGTTTGAAGCATTCTGAACATTCTTCTCTCATCACATGGAATGGCAGTTTTTAGTCACTTAACATGACTCTGTTTTAACTTGAAATTATATCACATGCTTCCAGTCCCTTATATTAAGAAGCAGATATGGGCCGGGTGCAGTGGCTCACACCTGTAATCCCAGCACTTTGGGAGGCCAACGTGGGTAGATCACCAGTGGTCAGGAGTTCGAGACCAGCCTGGCTAACCTGGTGAAACCCCATTTCTACTAAAAATACAAAAAATTAGCTGGGTGTGATGGCACATGCCTGTAATCACAGCTACTCGGGAGGCTGAGGCAGGAGAATTGCTTGAACCCGGGAGACAGAGGTTGCGGTGAGCAGAGATTATGCCATTGCACTCCACCTTGGACAACAAGATTGAAACTCCATCTCCAAAACAAAACAAAACAAAAGCAGATATTATCTTTATCTTTTCTGTGCAGAGTGACTTACTATACACCTTGAAGTGCTCTGATGGAAGGTACGGAAACCTCTGAAAGGAAGCTGTCCAAGTAGGAACTGTCAACAAAAATGTCTTGTATGAGTCGACACTGCAAGTTTATAAATCTTTTCTGCATATAGTTATTGCACTGAATCCTGATAACAGCCTCCGAAAGAGGCATATCATCATTTTACAGGTGATGAAATGGGGAGTGATGGAGGATTGGTGCCCTAATAAAAAGCACCTGTCTGGAAGCCATGGCACCTGATGTTTCTGAGGTGTCACAGGAATTGAGTAGAATCACGAAAAGAGAGAGAACCTTCTCACATCCGGCAGCACCACCTAACATTCATTGGCACAGTGGCCTCATCAGCACCTCTGATAGGATCTAACTGTCCCTGTCTTCTTGTTTCCTTCAAGTCTTTCTGGAATCTCATTTCTGAGATGGGAGTGAAGATACAAAGGAAATCGCCTGAAAGGAGTTAATTGCCTTTGCTTCTGATTACCTTCTTTTTCAAGGGCAGTGGTTTAATTATCGAGACACTAACCACACGCTAGGTTTCCTGGGTGAAAGACTTTCCTTTTAACATGATCACACTGTGTTAATGATACTGATCAGTCCCAGAATACTGCTAAAATAATTGTCTATGAGCAGGTTGCTCTACAGAAATATTCATGGAGCTTAGAGCATGAAACCTCCCAATTGCATACTAAAGAAAATTTTTCAAACCGTAAAATTACTTAGCAAGAAAAAAAAAAATACGTTAATTTAAAAATCTATACTTAGCCAGCCCAAAACTACACTAGAAACGTTCCAGAAGTGGCAATTTAAAGAGGTAGAAAATACCATACTTCTCTATGTGCCTCCAGTACCAAATAAAACTGTTCCTATTTACTCTACAGGGCGGACCGGTGCTTTGTAAAGTTTGGTTTCTTAACAGCAGTAAAGTGAGTTCTAATTTGGCTTTAGGTCAACATGCACAAGATTCAGTTTGCCAGAAGCGGCTACTCAGTGACTTCAGACTCTGAACACATGAGGATCTGAGACCCCCACACTAAAAGTTTGGAATAAAGACAGCAGGTTCTAAACTCTGAGTTCAAGTCAAGTGCTCATAGTTAATAATGAGAACCACTCAGGCAAATTCACTTTTCCCAGTACATTTAAGGAAGTGGTTCTCACACTTGAGCTTGTGTAAGAATCCCCTGGAGAGCTTGTTAAAACACAGATGGCTGGGCCCCACCCCAGGTTGTCTGATTCACTAGAGCTGGGGCGTAGCTCAGGCATTTGCATTTCTAACAAGTTCCAAGGTGTTGCTGATGCGGCTGGTATCAGAGCAACACGATGAAAACTATTGATTTGTTTAATGAAGACAGTTGATGCCAAGGACACAGTCATGATTATTTACCCCAAGGAGTTTATTCCTTCATCTGGTGGTCTCCTTATCCCCCAGTGGGCAGATTTCCCACTTCATTTACTTCATTTTGTGCTCCATTTTAGCCTTTTTTTTTAAAAACCATTGTCTACCTTATTAGCTGTATTATTGTCAGTACCCAATTAGGGTATTTTGGACTGTAACAACGGAAAAGAGAACTCAAACTGGTTTAGAAAGTTATTAAATGGATTTATGTCTAATAAACATAATTTACTAGCTCATAAAGAGAAACTCCAGGGCAGGGTAGCCTTCAGTGTTGTTTGATGATGTTATCAAGGACCCATGTGATTCACTTCTGTTTTTGTGCTCTGCAAGCCACAGTTTTGGCTTCACGATAAGACTGGTTCCCCTTGTGGTTTTAGGACAGTTGCTGGTAGCAATCAAGTTTTCAAGTTGCTTGCTCACATCCCTTGGAAAAGTGACTTCCTGGGGTTTTCTTCAGAATAAAGAGAAGTTTTCCAAAGCCTCTGGCAGGTCTCTTGTTACGTCTCATTGTCCAGAAGTAGGTCACATGCTCAAGGCCAAACCAATCACTGACCAGGAGGAGTGGTTTAGCTTTAGCCCAGTCAGGCCTACCCCTGGATTTCAGAGTGGCGTCAAATTCTCCTGTGTCCTGTGATATGCATGATGCAAACCTAAATGAAACTGGCATTCTTTTGGGAAGGAAGAGTGGAGAATGGATGCTGGATTGCAACTAACAGTATCTACTACACTTTCCAGGTAGTTATAAAAGTAGATAGTTTTAGAAAGTTAAAAAGCCATGGGAAAGAAAATATTTTGTATATTTACAAGGTATGAGGTTTTCCAGGGTGACATTTAGCAAATTTCAGAGAACAATGGAACTCAATTTTGCCACTAGTAAGTAAGTGGCAGAGTTGAGTTTCAAATACAGGTATATTTGAGTAAAGGCTTAAGTCACCTCTTTGAAGTTCCATTGCCTCATCTTTAAAATGGGGATGATACAGAGCTTTCAGGGTTGTCAGGACTATAAAGAATGAGTGCAGGGGAACTGGCATGTAACAGGGGCTCAGTTGATTATAACTGTCGCTGTTTGTAATAACAATGTGTGCGTGTGTGTGCACGCACGTGTGTGTGTGTGTTGAGAACTAGTATAGCAATTGACAATGTTTGTATGATCTCCATTTAGAGGAACAGCAAAGATCTGGTTAATTTAAACTGTTAAACTTGATATTGATCCTTGGCAAAATTCTGTATCTGGCTATATAACAAATGGAAAATTAAAGAATTCAGCAATGGACAGACAATGACAAGCATCCCCTAAGAAGGGATCATACAAACAGACTTCATTTCCGTTTTGGATACCAAGTTGGTCCCTAGGGAGGCCATGTTCCCCAAAGTATGGTGTGTACACTATTAAAGGCATGTGGCTATTCATTGATGTCACTCACTGAAATTGAGTGAGCTACTGAATTGAGCTGCTATTGGGATTAAATATACCACTGAAAATTCTAATTGTCAAGGGCCAAAAGATTGATCCTTTGGACACCTGAATTTTTTTTAAAGAAAGGGATTTCAGAGAGCCCTTATTCTTAACAATAAAGAAAGGGATTTTAGAGATCACTTATTCTTAACAATTGGTGGGAAGATCAAATTAAAATAAGGAGATATAATAGTTTCATGGCTAGCCTTAAAAATCATCTTGACTAAGTCAAAGAGCAAAAATCTGACCTAAAACAGTTACACTGAAACTCCCCACTTTGAACTCCATGCAGGATTAACATGGAGGCTAGTCCATTTTGTAGTTTGGTGGTTAAAATTCCCATCATGGCTTGGGTTGTCTTCCTAATGAGGAATCGGTCCCTTTTGGTTTGATATTTCTGTTGACTTGAAATATCGGCTGTTTGTCGCAGTTAAAATCTGGTAATAAAAGATTTGAAAAAAATTTTAAAAAGAGTCCTACTGTTAGAAGTCAGCTTAATTAAAAGCTGATATATTTATATAAAATATAAATACATATATATTTACATATAAACACTTATACACATGCACATATACATATAAAATATATATACAGACACATATATAAATATATATACTATATATAAATATAAATATATATATACATATACACATATAAATTTAAGTCCTTTCTGCTTTTTCTTTTTAGATCCTGTTTTTGGAAACATTTTAGTGGACTAAAACATCTTTTTCAAAAAATGAACACATATGTTTAATGCCTCTGTTCATTTCCTTTCTTAAAAATTGTTCTCCCATTTTACTTTTACTCTTCCTACTTCTCCTTCCTCTTTGTCATATTCAGTATTGTTTGAAAAGATCTAGAGAAGACTCAGACACCTTAAGGAACCCAGAAAAATGTATTACTCATCCCTTTTGTGGAGGTCTTCCGTTTTCCTTGTGAAGATTCAAGAGTGATGGTCTTCTTGGGTCTAACGCTCTGCCCTCTTTTGAATTGTTACCTAATCTCTTTGCTTTTGGGGTGTACCAGAAATTACATTATATTGTGAGAAAACTAGACCTTGGTGTGTGTAATGGTTGGGTAAGAGATACAGTTTTAAAGGTGGCTGATGGAAATTGTTTATGGTAAACGGCCATTACTACAGTGGGTTACTTGTTTCTTGCACATTTGGGTAAGAAAAGTGTGGTTTAGGGCCTGGTGCAGTGGCTCATGCCTGTAATCCCAGCACTTTGGGAAGCCAAAGTGGGCAGATCACCTGAGGTCAGCAATTCAAGACTAGCCTGGCCAACATGGTGAATGTCAGGCCTCTGAGCCCAGGCTAAGCCATCATAACCCCTGTGACCTAAACATATACATCTAGATGGCCTGAAGCAACTGAAGAACCACAAAAGAAGTGAAACAGCCAGTTTCTGTCTTAACTAATGACATTCCACCATTGTGATTTTTTTCCTGCCCCACCCTAACTAATCAATCAACCTTGTGACATCCCTCCCCGGACAATGAGTCTCATGATCTCCCCACCGTGTACCTTGTGACCCCCGCCCCTGCCCACAGGAGATAACCACCTTTAGCTGTAATTTTCCACTACCTACCCACATCCTATAAAACTGCCCCACCCCATCTCCCTTTGCTGACTCCTTTTTCGGATTCAGCCCACTTGCACCCAAGTGAATAAACAGCCTCATTGCTCACACAAAGGCTGTTTGGTGGTCTCTTCACACAGATGCATGTAACAGTGAAACCCCATCTCTACTAAAAATACAAAAATTAGCTGAGTGTGGTGGCACATGCCTGTAATCCCAGCTACTTGGGAGGCTGAGGCAAGAGAATCACTTGAACCCGGGAGGTGGAGGTTACAGTGAGCTGAGATCACACCACTGCACTCCAGCCTGGGCGACAGAGTGAGACTTCGTCTCCATCTCAAACAAACAAACAAAAGCAAACAAGCAAACAAATAAAAAAGTGCAGTTTAGGCCCTAAAAACTGCATGCTTACTTTTCCCTGTTCACTAAAGGGCTTCACCCAAAAGCCAGTAATCTAATGGAGAAAGAAGCCAAATAAAAAAGCTGAAATACAGCTTTCTGATATTTAGCAGAATCTTTTGATACTCATTGTAAAAGAAATTTGCATCTCTAAAGAAAATCTTCATTTGTAAGGGCATATCCCTATAGGTGACTAAACCACTAGGAACTTTAATTATGGGAACTGTAATGGTTTAAAGTTTATACAACAAACCTTACCTCTCTTCAGATCTAAGTTTTGTGCCTTTGAGATGTACATTTTCTACCTTGTTTCACCAGAGTCATGCTATAGGAGATGCAAATTAAGAGTTGCCTAGCTAACAATCATTTAAGGCAATGGAACCAGTAATCAAGAGATTCATAGTCTAAAGTGAGGAACAGAAACTTTTTGAAAGCTGGCAAAGGAAGAATCTTATAATTCTGTAAAATCTGCTTCTGTCTACATGTCTATATGTCTGTGTCATGTGTATGATATTTCACTACCAAATTATATTAAAGGGGTCTAACCAATTGACTTAAAGAAAAGTAAGCACTTAAATCAAGTATTTTATCAGAAAAATAAAAGCTAGCTCAAATGCCTTTTAGTTTGCATGACTTTAGTAATCTTTGGTAAATAAAACTAGTTTCAAAATTCTCCAGAGTAATTTAAAATCTTAATGTCATGTTATATTAAATTAATCCTAGAAATTTCACAGGAAATTAGATTTACTAAGATTTAGAATAGTAGTTAATATAGGTAATTAAAACTACTAGATATAAGAGTACCAATTCCATATATGGAATATAGAAAGAAAGATGTTTTTTAGTAAAGAAGTTCATAAAAAATGAAGATGTAGTTTTGCTTGAAAGAAAAGCAATTTTGTCTAGTTTAGAGGCAATGTATAGGTTGTTTGAAAATGAAGGAAATAATGATATAGATAAAACTAAATGAATAGAAGAGAAGGGATAATAGTGTAGGGAATGAGGAACCTTTGATTTTTGGGTGGCCATGTGACATGGAGCTGCAGCTGTGCTGTTAAAGGTAAAAGCTCAGCTCAGTTATTGAAGGTAATATTTACCAGTGTCATTGGGAGATGGATTCAACTTCTGGGAGTTGATTTACTGGATGCATAAGGAAACAAAAACTAATAAGGAAAAAGTGAAATATTCAATTGGTAAACCAAAACTAAAATTCCAAGCTCCCCAGCTGACCAAATGGACTCCCTTCTCAGCCAAGGGGATTCCAAAGAAATCTGAAAAATGAGTTCAGGCAATAACAGGAAGTAGGGGTTTGGATATACCTCATTATACCCTCTCCATTTTGCCGTTTAGACCCAACTGATGAGCATTCATATTAGAGATTCTAACACTGACATAACAGAGACTTTGTAGCAGTAAGCTACCAACCACAACCTGCCTCTGGTATATAACATCGCAAGACAGGTAACAGGTTCTAAAAGAAATCAAAGTATTTTACCCCAAAATATTTTTTTTGACATATTTTGGAATGGCCCTGCAAAGCCATCTCTTGTGGGAAAAAGTTACATTCTGTGGAGAATCCTTTTCCTTTTCCAGGTCTTTTCCTGACCGGAGAGATTTAACTCAGAGTTGGACACTTTTTAAGGTCTGATGAGAAATATTTCCCATCAGTTCTCTCTGAAGACTGATACCTGGGGGCTTCATCTATGTAGCAAGAACCATGGCATGCAATGGGGAAGTGACTTGCTTCTTTGGTGACCCACAGCTCAGGCCCCTAAGGGGAGCATGCAAATGGGCAGGTAGTGGGGCGTGTGGGCTCCAACCCTATGGCAGCATCTAGGATTGAGTGTTTACAGCTCTGAAAGCCCCAGTGGGCACATGTTGCGTTGTGCTCTTTCAGCTTAGCTGTGGCTTGTGTTAATCAGATCAATTGGACCCTCTGCCTTATCACAAAGAGAGGGCTCTCTGTGTCCTGGGGTTCTTGCTTTAGGGTACTAGAAAAATTGGATCGCATGTGGGCTTGGAGAATGAGTGCAAGGTTTTGTTAAATGGTGGAAGTAGCCCTCAGCAAATGGGTGGGAAGCCAGAAGGGGGATGGAGGGGAAAGGTGATCCTCCCCTGGAGTCAGGCCACTCAGCAGCTGGGCTCACTTCCAACCACCCTCAGCCAAATTTCCCTCAGCGTCCACATCATCCGACCACATCATCAGTGTTCTTCTGCCAGTGTGCTCCTCTTGATGTCCAGCTACTTGTGTGTGTGCCCACTAAGGTCTCGGGGTTTTTATAGGCACAGGATTGGGGGGCCATGGCAGTCCAGAGTGGTCTTGGACAATGCAACATTTGGGCGCAAAAACAAAAATGCCTATCCTCACCTAGGTCCGTGGGCACAGGCCTGAGGGTGGAGCCCTAGCCAGGGACCCCACCCTTCTCTACTCAGCACTTCCCTGCCTCCCACCCATATCATTTTCCCGCTCTGAAGAGGTACATCTAACTGCCATTAGAATATAGGTGATGACAGTAGCAAAGATTTGGAACCAACCCAAATGCCCATCAATGGTAGACTGGATAAAGAAAATGTGGTACATATACACCATGGAATACTATGCAGCCATAAAAAAAGGATGAGTTTATGTCCTTTGCAGGGACATGGATGAAGCTGGAAACCATCATTCTCAGCAAACTAACACAGAAACAGAAAATCAAACACTGCGTGTTCTCACTCATAATTGGGAGTTGAACAATGAGAACACATGGACACAGGGAGGGGAACATCACACAGGGACACAGGCAGGGGAACATCACACACCAGGGCCTGTTGGCGGGTGCGGGGCTAGGAGAGGGATAGCATTAGGAGAAATAGCTAATGTAGATGATGGGTTGATGGGTGCAGCAAACCACCATGGCACGTGTATACCTATGTAACAAACCTGCACGATCTGCACATGTATTCCAGAACTTAAAGCTAATTAAAAAGAAAAAAAGAAGAATGCAGGTGGTGACTGGTATTAGCTACTTCCTGATGACAGGGGGTGTTGTTTTGGGGAAAAAGCAGCAGTCAGATTCCTCCCAGAGGTCTACCTAAGGGTTCCTGGCAAAGGGGAACATTGTCTGGAATTTGATGGCTTCTAGGCTTGAGAGGAAAAAACAAGTTTTATAAGGTTTGGTATGCATGGGTTAAACATGTGTATTACACAGGGAAGAACCTAGTGCCAAGGATTATAGAAATAAGAAATGAAATATACTAATTATTTTGAAAACATGATTGTGCTCCAAGGTATAGAACAGAACAAAGGTAAGAACAGCAAGCATAGGCAAGGCTATGAAGAAGATATCCTTGGAAGGTTGATTATTAACACTTACGTGATTTTTTAACTTGAGGTCCCTGATCTCTTCACATTGGTACTTTGAGTGTTCTTCTGGGTCAATGGAGATGACTTCGCTGGCTTCCCAGGCCTTTACTTGGCTATAATGAATCCAAGAGTCTATTCCAGTGACCTTCACTGATGCAAGAGTAGAAAAGAGTATAGCGTAAGTTCCCTCCCAATCTGGGCCTCTAGAGAGAGAAAGGGAAGGGCGTACCTTTATTAGCACTAGGTCATCTGGTTTGAAAAGAGGTGGGTCTGGTTCATGGGCTTGGGCCTCTGACGGTTGTTTCAATTCCTGTTGGAAATGGGCCAAAGAGGTTATGTGTTTAATTAAATCAGAGGTTTCTTGGTCTAGCGAGAGATCATTGGGGAGAAAAGGCCATCCATTCCTCATTTCAAGGAGATGCAAAGCTAGCTTTGACGGGGTGTTTCTAATACATAGCAGGGTTATGGGGAGAAAGGTAGTCCAGGGGAGACGAGTCTCCTGAGACAGTTTCCTGAGGTGCCTTTTGATAATATCATTTGTCTTTTCTTCCTTTCCTGAGGATTGTGGTCTCCAGGCACAATGAAGATGGTACTGTATACCTAGTGCCTTTGAGAACCCCGGGGTGACAGCCAACTTGAACGAGAGGCTAGTATTGCTCTGGAGGTACTTAGGGAGTCTAAAATGAGGGATTATCTCATTGATTAGTACTTTTATCATCTCAGAGGCTTTCTCTGTCTGACATGAAATTGCTTCTACCCAGTTAGTGAAAGTATCCACACTAGGAGGACTGGATGCCTCTTGCCTTTGGCATATGAGTGAAATCCATTTGCTACTCTTTTTCTTGGTGGTCTACTGTCCTTTGGGTTCCCGGAGGAAGAAGCTATCAATTGAGGGGATTATTTTTAAGGCAGTTCTCACAAGCATTAACAATTCGTTTAACCATTTGTATTAGGTTTTTTTTTTTTTTTACTGAGTCTCACTCTGTTGCTCAGTCTGGAATGCAGTGGTGCGATCTTGGCTCACTGCAAGCTCCACCTCCCGGGTTCATGCCATTCTCCTGCCTCAGCTTCCTGAGTAGCTGGGACTACAGGCACCCGCCACCATGCCCCACTAATTTTTTTTTTTTTTTTTGCATTTTTAGTAGAGACAGGGTTTCACCATGTTAGCAAGGATGGTCTCGATCTCCTGACCTTGTGATCCCCCTGCCTCGGCCTCCCAAAGTGCTGGGATTACAGATGTGAGCCACCGCACCTGGTCTGTATTAGATTTTTACCTGAGAACAATCTCTGGGTCATTTGATAGGTTTTATCCTTACCTAGGTGGAAGGCCTGGTGAAGGCTTTTAAAAATTTTCCATTGGTTGGCAGCAGGTAGATGAAGTTTACCGTGTTCTGATTGTAGCCATCCTGAGGACTGAAGGATGTATCCCTGAGAGGTGGCCCGTTCTATTTTTGCAGGAGAGTACTGCAGTTTTATTTCTCTGATGGGGCCCTCCCAGATCAATAGGGCTTCAAGTGGGTCAGAGACCTGGGGACCCCTGGCTGCTGTTTTAGCTGTTTAGTCTGCCAGTCTATTTCCCTCAGCTATTTCATCCATCCCTCTTTGGTGGCCTTTACAAAGTATGACTGACACCTTCCCATGGGAGGAAGACTGGGGACAATAGGCTATTAATTTCCTGATGGTATTTAATGGCAGACCCATTAGCTGTGAAGAAGTTCCTCTGTTTCCAGATAGTGGCATGGGTGTCGAGGTCTAGGAAAGCATACTTAGAATCAGTAGATATGTTAACTGTCTTTTCTTTGCTTAGTTGGAGTGCCCTCATGAGGGTGATTAGTTGGGCTAGTTGTGCCTGAGGAAAGAAGTGCATTCTCAACAATATGGTTTAAAGTAACTATTGTGTAGCCTGCTTTGTGGGTTCTTTGTTCTACAAAAGAACTCCCATCTGTAAAGAGAATCCAGTCTGGATTCTCTAAGGGGGTTTCCTTGAGGTCCTCTCTCGCTGCTCAAGTTTGTGCTTCTATTTGTTTGCAGTCACGCTCAAGTTCCCCAGCTTCATCTGGGAGGAAGATGACTGGATTTAAGGAGGGACAGTTTCTTCATTGGACCATAGATCCTTCTAACAATAGAGCTTGAGGCTTGAGGAGATGGTTGTCTGTTAGTCTTCCAGGAGACTATTGTCTCTTAGAAGACAGTAGTCCTGCCACATTGTGCAGAGTATAAACAGTGAAGTTATTCCCCATGGTCAACTTAGTAGCCTCTGGTATCAGCAAGGCTACAGCTGCGATTGCCTGGAGGCAAGGCCAGCCATCTTCTAGATACCAAAATGAGCACCTTACTTAGGTAGCCCGTGGGCTGCTGGGTTGGACACCAGTTCTATTTTAGGACTCTCAGTGCCATTCCCTTTCTCCCTGATACACAAAGATTAAACGTTTTTCCTATGGGGAGACTAAGGGCTGGTGCCTTAAGCAAGGTTTGTTTTAGTTGATCAATGGCCTTTTTAGCCTCCAGCTCCCAAGTTGGACAGTGAGTTTTAGCTGCCAAGTCTCCTTTATTAGATGATAATAATGAAATAACTGAACTATAGGTATCACTGTACCCAGGTATCAATAGTCTGCAGATTCCTGTAATGCCCAAGAATCCCCTCAGTTTCTTGAGGGTTCTGGGGAGGGGAAAGGAGGAGATGAGTTTAATTCTCTTTTTGCCCAATGTTCTGGTCCACTCTGACAAGACCAGGCCTAGTTAGTTCATTCAAGACGGACAGAGTTGAGTTTTGATTTTGGAACCTTATATTCTCTGTTAGCTAGAAAATTAAGGAGAGGCTTACCGCCCTCCTGAGAGATTTCCTCAGTTGGAGCACAGAGGAGAGAAGTTCATCTACCTATTTCAAGACCTTAACCTGAAGATAAAGGAACTCAGAGAGGTCTCTCAGTAATGCCTGCCCAAACAAGTGGAAACTGTCTCGGAATCCCCGAGGTAATACTGTTCAGGTTAATTGAGTGGTTTGGTTTCAGGGATCCTCAAATGCAAACAAATACTGGGAGTCAGGGTCTAATGGTATGTAGAAGAAGACATGCCTTTAGGTTCAAGACTGTGAGCCATTTAGTCCCCTCAGGTATTTGGGCTAGCAGGGTATATAGATTGGGAACCACAGGGTGCATTGGAACCACAGCCTCATTAATGAGGGAGAGGTCCTGAACTAGCGTCCATTCCCTGTTGGGTTTTCATACTTCTAATAACAAGGGCTGTTGCAGGGTTTGAGGAGGGTTTGAGGAGGCCCAGGATCTTTAAGTTATATATCATGGCTTCTAGCTCTTTCCTGACCTCTGGTTTCAGGGGATATTGTTTCTAGTTAGGAAAGGAGATGGGATCCTTAACATGGACCCGGACAAGTATGGCTGTCCAATTTTCCCTCGAGTTGCTCAAACTTCTGGTTTAATATCAGTCTCCACTAGGGGCAGACAAAGAGTTTGTCCAGGGGCCATCAGGATGGTGGTCCCCATACGGTCCAGGATATCCTTGCCCAACAGAAGAGTTGGGCTTTAAGGCATAATTAGAAAAGCATGAGTGAACAATAGGGCTCCCCAGCTACAACTAAGGGGTTGAGAGAAATATTGGGTTAAAGGCCTTCCTGAGGTGCCCCTCATGGTCATGCTGAGAGAAAAAGGGAGCCCAGATTAGGGAGTAGAACGGAGAGACCGGCTCCAGTGTCCAAGAGGAGGTCCCTTTTCCTCATTTCAATTTCCAGAATTACCCAAGGCTCCTGGATGGTAATGGTGGTCTGGACCACTGAAGCCGGGAAGAGGAGCCCCAGGACCCATAAGTCATGCTGCTGGACCGTTTGGGAGATTGGTCCTAGACCCGGTAACCAGCATCCCAGGAGACAGTCCACTCTCCAGTGGTCTCCATTGCAGACTGGACAGGGTCGAGGTGGCTTCCTTATGCCAGTTGGGCAATCCTTTTTGAAATGCCCTGGCTTGCCACATCTGTAGCAGTTAACAGGTGCACCCTGGGAATTCTGGAGTTTGTGGGCTTGCCTGGCAGCCATTAAAGCCTCTGTCTATTTCCTATATTTCCTCTTTCCTTCCTGGGCCTTCCTGTCTCTATTATAAAAGACTGATATGGCTACTTTCAGGAGGTTCTTTAAAACACTATCTGGCCCCAGGGCCTGTTTTTGTAACTTCATAATGATGTCAGGAGCTGCCTGAGTAATGTATTCTTCGGGATTAGTCGTCCCTCAGCTGAATCAGGAGACAGAAAGGTGTGCTTTACCCAGGACTCTCTTAGCCTTTCCAAGAAAGCAGTGGGGTTTTCATTGAATCCCTGGTTGATCATGGACAACTTAGTATAATTGAGAGGCCCGGTCCTAGTTCTACAGAAGCCTTCCATTACGCACACCTGAAAGTGTCTCCTCTTCTAGCTTTCCATTTCATTGTTGGGATTTCATTTAGGGTCATCCATGGGTACTGCTTCTCTTCCAGTTGGATAACATTCGCCCCCTTCTCTGATGCCATATGTGATACAAAACGCATCCCCAAATCTCTCTGCTGCTTGCAGAACGGCCAGCTTCTCAGTGCCCATCAGGGTCTGATTCAGAAGTAACGTAACATCTCTCCAAGAGAGTTCAAATATTTCAGTGAAATTCTGGAAAGCCTCTGTATATCTATCAAGGTCATCTGAAAACTTGCCAAGATCCCCCTTAATTTGCTTTAAGTCTTGTAGGAGAAAAGGACCTGGACCTTACTGGGCCCAAATACGCTGTGCGTCTGTTGGAGTGGCAAGAGGGAGACTGGGGCTTGTTTAGGGTGAGGATTTCTAGCAGGGGCCAAGCTGAAGCTGGATAGGGAGGTCGAGGCGGACACAGAGGAGCAGGGCTTGAGAGAGCTGGCTCTTCTGCTGGGAGTGCCTCTGGGATTTGTATCTTTAATTCCCTGGGCTTGCCCCTTGCAGCCTTCCCTGAGACGGCAAACAGGAGGACTGGATCAATCCTACACTGTTAGCAAAGGCCTGGATTGCCTTGCAAGGTATAGAAAGTCCGCACATATAGGGCCTCAGACCATCTATCCTCGTGTCTACAGAAAAGTTCCAACTGCCGGATGGTACTGAAATGAATGGTTCCTTCCTGGGGCCAACCCAGTCCCTTCATAATTTGGCCAAACCTTTGTACAGAGGGCTATGAGGCATTTTCCCTCCAGATTCTGAGGTCAAAGCAGTCCCAGTGGTTCAGAATACACTCCAGAGGAGTATAAGCTGGGGATGGTGAAGAGATCTGATTGTCCATTCTGAAAGACAGGGAATGGAGGCCTTCCT